CTCCTCCCCGCCGCCGCTGGGGGGCGCCGTCTTGGCAGCAGCCTTGGTGGTCAGCGGCTTCCTGGGGGCTTTGCCTCCTGCCGATTTGCGGGCGGTCTGCTTCGTGCGAGCCATGCTGCGAAGACGCCGACAACCGGCCCCTAAAGCGAGGGTTTGGTGCTCTGCAAAGGAAAGATGATGCGGCCCACTGGGCAGAGGTAGAGTCAGGTTTACGTGGAGGCAGGAGACCCTCTCACCCCCACACGCCGAGAATCCTCAGGCACACCGGACTTACCTGATCCCGGCCTGGGGTAGTCCCGCTGCTCCTCGTTGGTGGCTTCCGGCTAGGGCAGAGTGGGCCGGGTGGTGGGGTCCTGCTTGGGTTGAGCTGGCCTAGAACCTCTGTGATGGCTTCTCTGGTCTAAGTTCGGGCACCCCTGTTTGTTCTCCTGAGGGTCTGGGGATGTTCTCAGCTCCTGGGGTCACGCTCAGGCCCTGGTGGTCTACACAGCCTGCACGAGGACGTCCTTGCCGGCTGTCTCTCTCTGGCTGTGGATGTCTCTGGAAGGCTTAGTCCTTATAAAGGGCTCAGAAGATTGGATCAGACCCACCCAGATTATCTTTCGGTCACGGGTTTTCTAACCTCGTCAGGCAGGTGAAAACCTAGCAAGCTTCTGGGTCCCACCATCACCAGAGCAGGGAAAGGGTGTGTCACCAGGGTAGGAAACTGTGGCATCTACAGTAGAATTCTGCCTGCCTCAGAGATTCTGAAAGTTGACCTTTCATCATCGTAGCGGAAACTGTCTAGCACAAGGAAGACCTTTGTTAAATCGCTCTAGATGGCCGCCATGTCTGCGCTAAAACCCCGGGGAGTGAGGTGATGGGTGGTTGTCAGCTGTTCTGAGGAGGCCTGGGCTAGGAGGGGATGTGGACACTCAATGGCCGTTCTTCCGGTCACTGGCCACTTACGCAGGGATGGGCCTGGGGCATTTTCCCCCTAAAGAGACAGCCATGGAGATCTTCAAGGAGGATCTTGGCTAGGGTGAAGTTTTCCTGTAAGTGGTCACATGTGACTGTCAGTGGTGCCCTCCTGCCAGTCTCTCCCTGAATGTGGGTGTGATGCCTGGGGTTGAGCCTTCCTTCTAGTGCCCAGGAAGGAAATACCATGAGGCCCTGAAACCAACCTTGACCTCACTGAGCTGCTGATCCAAGCCACAGCTCCAGACTTCTGTCTTAGGACAGCAAGAACGCCTTCATCAATCCACCGAAAATACACCTCTGCTACTTGTTCCAGAAAACAGTGCCCACCTAGTTTCAGATCTGGGCTGTGACCATGTGACCCCCCGTCACAGAATACAGAAACACCATTTGCTTCCTGAATGCATATGTACCATGTCTTTTAGTTCTACTGATCTGATGGAAAATACGATTTTATTACGATCTGACTCTCAGACATTAGCTCCAAGAACTTTGACAGTATGGTGCTGTCACTTTTTGATCGATCTTTAATGTCAAGGATGTTTTAGATTTTTATAGATATGTGTACTGAAGGATAATAAAGCATGTCTACAGTTGTGAAAATTGAGAAAGTATTAAAAATATGATTGAATTGTTCCATTTATTGGTATAATGCATGGGAATGATTTGTATCTTAGACATAACATTATGAGCGCTACATCGTATATTCTAGACGATTGGTTAATGATGTTTGTTTACCCAGAAAGATAAAACTTGGAAGTCACCTTAGAGAATTCAGACAGATCCGATTTGATTGTCAGTCAGTCAAAGCAAGGCTGCCAATATGGCAGAATGACATACAACTAATTGATGGCATTACAAAGGACGTGGGATCAGGTATTGAGTCACAGGGACATTGATACATCCTGGGGCAATTTGTTTTATTACTTCTTGGCTAGGATTTTTCCAAAACAAAGAGAAAAGGCACCAAATAGATATGAATGAACTCATTAGATACAGTAAGCTGTTTCATACTACTTTTTTGGGGTAGGTTGATTCAAGTACAGTATTAATGAGGTCAAGATCATGTCTCATATCCCTGGAAAGCCTAGTTAATTTGCAGAAAGAAAATTGCATTTTGTTACTGTGGACTCTATGACTAACTTTGTCAGGTCACTTGTGAAATATGGGTCACTGATCACAAGGGCAATTGAGTAAAAGTACCGAAATATTTCAGAGAAATACCATTATCACTACAAATAAATTGCAGACCTGCAAACAGAATCACAGAACATGAATGTATCTCATTCGTTTTATAGCCTCGTAGTTTCTGGTACATATTTTTGATTGTAGGCTTCTTTATTCAAACTTATCCTCTGATATCCGGTTTAAAACAAAGAGTTGTATTGATTGATGAGGGAGAGAAAAACATGTCTGTAAATCAATATCCTTACCATTCTTAGGTCTTCTTACTCTATTGGCTCCCATTTATTTCTTCCCATTGAAACTGCTTTCTGAAATAATATGAAAGAAGTGAGAATTAGGGTTGTGTGAAACAGGTGTTAAAACCCTGACCTGGCCAGATGTTCTTATTTTAGAAAGTAGGAAATGACGACTTGCCTGAGCTCACCCAGTCAGGCAGCAGCGGGCGGATTCAGGTAGTGGGATTCTTTCTGTGTAGTGTAATTTAATAATTCATATATTTTTCTTTCCCCACTTGACAGAGTTTTCTAGGTTGGTGAGTAGCTCTGCTCCACATTGTTAGTTTTTCAAGTCCAATGTCTGTGGCAGTTGTACTATTCCGTTACCCTTTTGAGAATTGCCATCACATGAGGTCCATTTGGTTGTAAAGAGCTCTCATTGGCACTAAGGAACAGAGAGTGAGGAGGAGGTGTATCCGTAAAGTCGTGACCTAGGCCTGAGAGTGGAATTCAGACACATGGCCACACACAACTTCAATGACACTGGTAGCCATATGCCAAGAAGAGAGAAGGAGAAAGATGACGAACATCTAGGAATCTCTGTCATGAGTTTTGTTGATTCCTACAATCCATGACACAGAAACATTATATTCAGTTCTAATAGTAAGCTTATTTTAAGAAATTATGCTTATTACATTTTCAAGTCCTTTTCTCTCTCTCTCTCTCTTTTTTTTTTTTTTGTTTCATTTGTTTCAGTCTGTGCTGCTATAAAAAAATACCTTAGACTGGTAATTTCTTTTTTTCAGGAAGAAATTGAATATTTTATTATTTCTTATTTTGCTGTGAAGCTGTTGCTTCAACTGTTCAAAATAGCACCAGCAAATGCAGTATATTGCAAAACAAAAATAGTACTGTTCCTCAACTCTACACAACTAACAAAAACTTTTCTCCACTCCCAGTTATTTCCAATGGAAAGAAAATGAAGTATTCTGACCCATATCTAGGGATGGATATAAGCAAGACACAGTGTTATCTAAGGGTAACAGTGCTATCACTGATTTTCTAATTTTTAGGACTAGTTTTTATCACAGATGATTTCAGGAATTTGAAATACTTGAGTCTAGTCTAAGAATGACAGAATATTGTGAAAGAGATGCATTTTGTATTCATAAAAATATGATCATTGGAAAGTTAAGGGGTATTTCTTTTCAGTAGTAGTGTTCAGAGTAGTTTCCTTGTCCATTGGTGTTGCTAAAAGTTGCTATTTTAAGTCTTCTATCAACCACTAATTTCAGACAAGTAGGCTGGATTAAGCTGTTTTACACTACTTTATTTAAGGGTTTTACTTCTCACACACTTCTTCACTCATCGTTCATCTAGTTCTGAAGGGTTACTCAGTGTCATCTTGATCAGCCAACCCTCTTCAGAATAAGATTTGTTGACAAGTTCTGAATTTTGTGCAAGACCTTCATTATTTTCAGTGACTTCTGACAGAGAATAGAGATCACTAGCAACTTTCATAGTTTTCAAAGCACCAAACTCATCTTGTTTGCTCAGTTGTGTCCCAACTTCAGGCAGACTACAATAAACACCTCCCCAAAGCTTGACGTGCAAAATTGCTAATTCCCACGATTCCCATACCATTTTCTGTTCTTATCCCTTTATGTTTCTCTGTGGATTTAGGCTCCCGCAGCAAAGCTGGTCTGTGCACAGCATCTGGAAGGCACCTGACCTCAGCTGCCAGGGTTCTGGCCATACACAGGCTGCAGGTCTCTGCTTGTTCAGTGCCACTTGCAGGGCCATGCTTGCAGGGGTGCCAAGGGTCAAGGCACTGCCCCCATCTGCCCAGGTAGGGGGCTAGACTGATAATTTCTAATGAACCTAATTTTATTTATTTTTTAAATAGTTTTTTATTTTATTATTTCTTATTTTGCTGTGAAGCTGTTGCTTCAACTGTTCAAAATAGCACCAGCAAATGCAGTATATTGCAAAACAAAAATAGTACTGTTCCTCAACTCTACACAACTAACAAAAACTTTTCTCCACTCCCAGTTATTTCCAATGGAAAGAAAATGAAGTATTCTGACCCATATCTAGGGATGGATATAAGCAAGACACAGTGTTATCTAAGGGTAACAGTGCTATCACTGATTTTCTAATTTTTAGGACTAGTTTTTATCACAGATGATTTCAGGAATTTGAAATACTTGAGTCTAGTCTAAGAATGACAGAATATTGTGAAAGAGATGCATTTTGTATTCATAAAAATATGATCATTGGAAAGTTAAGGGGTATTTCTTTTCAGTAGTAGTGTTCAGAGTAGTTTCCTTGTCCATTGGTGTTGCTAAAAGTTGCTATTTTAAGTCTTCTATCAACCACTAATTTCAGACAAGTAGGCTGGATTAAGCTGTTTTACACTACTTTATTTAAGGGTTTTACTTCTCACACACTTCTTCACTCATCGTTCATCTAGTTCTGAAGGGTTACTCAGTGTCATCTTGATCAGCCAACCCTCTTCAGAATAAGATTTGTTGACAAGTTCTGAATTTTGTGCAAGACCTTCATTATTTTCAGTGACTTCTGACAGAGAATAGAGATCACTAGCAACTTTCATAGCCTTCAAAGCACCAAACTCAACTTGTTTGCTCAGTTGTGTCCCAACTTCAGGCAGACTACAATAAACACCTCCCCAAAGCTTGACGTGCAAAATTGCTAATTCCCACAATTCCCATACCATTTTCTGTTCTTATCCCTTTATGTTTCTCTGTGGATTTAGGCTCCCGCAGCAAAGCTGGTCTGTGCACAGCATCTGGAAGGCACCTGACCTCAGCTGCCAGGGTTCTGGCCATACACAGGCTGCAGGTCTCTGCTTGTTCAGTGCCACTTGCAGGGCCATGCTTGCAGGGGTGCCAAGGGTCAAGGCACTGCCCCCATCTGCCCAGGTAGGGGGCTAGACTGATAATTTCTAATGAACCTAATTTTATTTATTTTTTAAATAGTTTTTTTTTTTTTTAAATAGAGATTTTTGCTATAGGGCATGTGCACTTGCCAGAGAGAGAAACAGAGAGACAGAAAGTGAAAATTCACCCCCTGAGGGGATGGCCACTCCACAGTCCTTTCTCCTCCATTATCCTCCTGGGATTTTGGGCATGCACACACACGGGCCCAGTGTGAGTTTTAAGCTGCTGGTCTGGGACACAAACTGTAGTCAACTACATGAGAGTCCAGTGACATAATCATTGTGCTGTCTGCTGGTTCCCCTAATTTTATTTCTTAAGGTTCTGAAGGTTGGAAGTATTATATAAGATTAAGACATTGGCATCAGTGCCTGATGGAAGCTGCTCTTTGCTTCCAAGATGGCGGCTTGTTGCTTGATCCTTACTTGGTGTAAGGCAGAAGGTCAAGAGAGCACTCCCTGTAACTTTGAGTCCTTTCATGTGGGTGGCAAGCCATTTATAATGGTGGAGCCCTCAAAGCTTAATCACCTCCTAATGGCTCCAGCTCTAATACCACCACAACGCAACAAAGAGGATTAAATTTAAATGTGAATTTTAAAGGGGACATGTTTAAGCCATAGCATCATTGAATGATGGTATGGAAACCCATGAGATTCAAAACAGAAATATCATGACAGTCTTAAAAGTGAGCTTTAGTCTCTAGGAAGCACAGCAATAAGATCTGATTTTTTTCTTTTCTTTTCTTTTTCCTTTTTTTTTTAGATTAACAGAGCGTGTGGGTGCTTGCTGCTTTCCAGAGAGACAGAGAAAGCACCCCACAATGGGATGTGGTCTCATGTTGGCATTTGGGGCATACATGTACATGTACCCAATGTGTTTTTCAAACCACAGGGACTTGGATTTGAACTGTGATTGGCCAAATGGAATCTGGATTCTTTAACCATTGGCTAGGTTCTGGTACAATAAAAGCCTTTTAAAGCAAATGTCAAACCTGTAAGAAAGGCAGCTCATTGTAGAAATGATCCCTTTGTCCAGCTTGCAAAATCTTTCCTTTCTTTTTATTCCTATTTCTTTAAGCATATTTCAGACACTGTAGATTTTCTGATTCCCTGACTCTTGAGATAGGGGTTAGACCCCACTTATAGGTAGATAGGATAAGGACCTCAAAAGGAAGTAACTATGTTTTTCTTTTAATGAAGTCTCTATGTTTTCCCTCTAAGGTTTGTTTAAAGTACAATATATACTCCTTTTATATATCTCTAAAGAATTTATGACTCATCACTAATACTGCAGGAGATTAGGATATTGTGCACATAGACAGAGTAAAGATCTAAGATGGAGTCAGTGTGGCTAAGTTTTCACAGCCAAAATCAGGCTGAGATGGGACTCAAAGCAATGATAGCTAAGGGCAACATTTTCTATTTAGTAACTGTATTCTAACCAGAAGTACGGAATGCTATGGTCTGCTGACCCCACAAATAATAAGATAATTAATCACTCAGATTACCATGTCACAATTTACTAATACCCACTTCCTTATCAAAAAGCCAGCCCATTGATCAGACTGCTAGGTAAAAACCCCTTTCACTACATTGGAAGCCTTTTCTCATTACCTAATAAACTCTGCTTTACACTCCTCTCTGTTTGTATCTCTAATTCTTCATGAACATAGGACAAGAACTAGCATGAGTGTTGAGTCTGATCACCCAATACTCCTGTGTCACTATTGGGTTGTCAGGAAAGTCATACATTTCTGCATAGGGAAACAGAAAAATAAGTCAAGACTTTTCTGACAACCTAATAGATTATAAACACCTTGAGCAGCTTATGTACAGTTTATTATCTGTTTTAATATACTCCTGGCCCATACAGAATACCTTAAACATAGATATTAAGTAAATCTCATGTATGTGTTAAATATTGATTATTGCGAGAGTGTTAATGATTGGACCAGAGCAGTGTTTTCTAGGAGTCTTAGCTGATTTTCTTTTTTGGACTTTTTCAGTACTTTGATGCATTAAAGCTTGATACCAACACAAAAGGAATAAAGTAGATATTACCATAAAAATAGTTTTAGATAGATTAGTTTGTAAGTAATGTAAAACTCACAGATTAAAATCAGGTGTTGTGATACTGTTAATCAATACCTGACTTATATGAGCACACTTCTTATTTTTAAAAGGATAATTGAAAACCCTAGGTTGGGGTCATATTTGGTTTTCTAGTGTCAATATATTGTACATGGTAAAGTATTAAATATGAGAATATAATTTGGTGAACTAAAGAAAAGAAAGTAAAACAATTTTAAAAAGTTAAAATTTCTATCATTCCATTTATCCATTATATTGTTTTCTTCCAAGAGGGATTTCAGATGATTTTGCAAGGTTAAGAGAAGTTACATTGTAGGTAAGCAGTTCCTAAATTCTGCTATGTAATATAATCTTTTTAAGATACAGTTTAAAAGGCATGGTGTTGGGGCCAGCAGGTGGCATAATAGTTATGACATAAGAGTTACAGGGATGGACTCCCACATGACTAACTGTGGTTCGAATCCTGGACCTGGTGGCTTGAAAATCATGCCAACATGAATGCGTGTATGTCCCTAAAAGCCCAGGAAGAGATTGAAGAGATTGCAGTATGGCCATACCCCTGGGGGTGGTGGTGATTGCTCGCTTTCCTTCTCTCTTTCCTGCACCAGCAAGTGCATGTGTCCTATGACCACAAAATAAATAAATAAAGTTCAACTATGAAGCTTAACTTATTTATGGATTCATACTTGTTAATTTTTAAAAATGTTGGTAGGACTAATCTCAGAGTCTTTTGAAAACAAGAGATAAAGCATTTACAAAAGTCACAAATATTTTATTTCTATTTAAGTACTCAAATAAACAAAATAAGGCAATGACAGAGATCTACAATATCGTCTAAAAATTCTAAGCCTAATTTTCATAACTTACATTGCCAAAATTTCCAGTCAATAAATAGTTATTCTATTTTTGCATAAATTTGAAGAATAAAGTTTTTATCTTTTTTTGAGTTTCTACATTTCCTCTTACACAGATGTGATGCTACATAAACATGGTCATGTCACCTGTGTTTTTGGTCATTTTCCTTTCCCCTTGCTCTACCCCCCACATTTTTTACTTATTTCTTTTTATTTTTTTTGGTGCTGGAGGTGATGTTCATAAGAGAGTGAGAGAGAGGAAGAGAATGAGTACCCCCAAAGCAGGTCCTGGTCATGCTGTGATCCTCTTTCCTCCACTGGATGGTGGCAGGAGTGTGTAGTGTGAAGGCTGAGACTTCAACTCTGGTTGGCCGTGGAGAGTTCTGCTTTCCACACGCAGCACTAAACTGCTATGCCATGGGGCTGCATTTCTTTACAATTTCAACCACTTTAGTGTTCTGTTCCTACTCCAGAGAACTTACACTAATCCATTACATATAATCCCATGTATTCTATAGAATCATATATAAATAGATATATCCACACATACTCATGAACACATTTAAAAATGTGCTTCTGGAGGTCAACAACTTGAATTTGCATCTTGGTTCTGGCTCTTGTGTGTGACCTTGGAGAAGTGACTCGGTGACTCAGTGACTTAATTTCCTTCTTTATAAAGTGTGGTTAACAGGGATGTTGTGACTAAATGGATTATTCAGTGCCATGGGCTTAGAAAGGTACCTGGTATATAGTGAATGTTCAGTAATGACAGAGACTAGTATAATTATCATAATCTTGCTACGTTTTGATAGTTTGTTTCTTCAAATATAATCATGTTTTCTTTCATTTTATCTTTTGTTTTGTTTTGTTTTTAATTGCCAGAAGGTGCATGCATTCACCAAAAAGAGCAATAGAGAGGGAGAAATCACCCCTGAATGGAGTATGGCAATGCCTTAATCACCTCTCCTCCAAACCGATATCCTGCCAGGATTCCAGGTACATGTGCCCAGAGCATCCTCAGACTTGCCAACACTGGCAGTTGAACCATGGTTGACCATGTGGGATCCAAGTCCTTAAATAACTAGGCTACAGGACTGGCCCTATGCACAGTTGTCTTTATCTTCCTTTTCTTATTCAGTTACACTTTATACTTTATGGGAATCATTCCAGATTAACAAGTCACATTAAGTTACTATTATTAGGTGGCATGAATGTACACATTCAGCCACTCTGATGATAAATATTATTTCTATTGGACCGTCAGGAAAGTCATGGTGCATTTTTGCATAGAAAAACAAAAAATATGTCATGATATTTCTGACAACTCAATATTTCTAGTGTTTGCTCTTGTAAATAATGTTGTAATAAACATCTAGGCATGCATACCCTTCTGTATTAGTTTATTTTCCCCTTCAAAATATAAAAAAAATGAATTATGGTAACATATACATCTTAACTGTTTTTATGTATAGCTTGGATGTGTTAGCTACATATATCTTGTGCTACCGATACTTGGAACTGCAAAGCTGAACCTGCATACCCATTAAAAAAAACTCCCCATTTTCCCTTCCACCAGCTCCTGGCAACCATTCTTCCTTGTGTTTATATGAATTTGACTAGTCTACATTCCTCGTGTAAGTAGAATCATACAGTATTTATTTTTCTGTGACTGGCTTATTTCACTTTGCACAAGATCCTAAAGTTTCATCCATATTGTAGTAGGTGCCAGAATTTCCTTCCTCCATAAGGACAAATAATATTCTATCACATGCATATACTATATTCCATTTATCTATTCATTCACATGGATTTTTTTTACCTTTTGGCCATTGTAAAAAAAATGCTTCTGTGATCATGGGCTTACCAATGTCTCAGCGTGATCCTATTTTCAGTTCTTTTGGGTATATACCCAGCAGTGAAATTGTTGGATCCTACCATAATTCTATATTTAAATTGTTGAAGAATCACTGTACTGTTTTGCATAGTGACTGGACTATTTTATTGTATTGTTTCTCATTTCTGTCGGCTTTCTCTTAATATTTGGGGCCTGGAGTAGATATCTTTTAGATCTTATTTGGATAGGAACAAGAGAGAAAAACCTGATAAAAGCCCCAGTGAAATCTCCTAGAACATATAGAATCATCTAGAAAGGGTTTTAGAAGGACTAGACTTGGAATTCATGTGATGGTGTCTCATACATCATAAATAGCTCTTGATGGAACCAGCCTCATAAATTAGTGGTGAAGGGAGCCAGATTCCAAAGATCATGGCTTTAATATGTGACCCTTGTTGGGGACCAGCAGGTGGTATGGTGGTTAAGGCGCTGAACATTCCCACATGGCTGACCATGGCTCAAGACCTGGACCTGGTGGCTTGCTTTCTCACTTTCTCTCTCTCTCTGTATCTCTCTCTGGTCAAAATAAAATAAGTAAATGAATAAATAAAATTAAAAATAATTCTTTTAAAAAATATGTGGCCCTTGCAATTTGAAAAATACCATGGCACACATGAGCATGTTCAAATCCCAATAGACTGGGGAAATGGGGAAATGGAGCAGATAGAATTGCAGCATGACCAGACCCTCTTAGGGGGTTCCTTCCCTCTCTCTCTACTGTCTTTTTGGTGAGCACATGTGCCCTCTGGAAATTAATAGTAAATAGCTCTTATAATTAGATAATCATTGCTATAGGAATTAAAAGGTTAATCTTTTGACATTTAAGTGTGTAATAATTATATAGTCATAAGTTCACAGGTGTCTTTAGGAGTTGAGATTTCACTTTTCTATCTGAAAATGTCAGCACCTCTGCTATTAACAGCAGTAGTTCCTTATCAAGATTCAGATCTTATTTTCGAAACAAAAGTTACATTTTTCTTTTTTATCTTTCTGTGTTCTAAGTTGTAGATGTACAAGTTACTGAATTAAGTGACCTCTGTTAACTCCTATGGTCTACTTACTATGTATCAGTTCCATCCTTGTGAAACAATTTTAATGGTATTTCCGAATTATATTGTAAAAATAATTTAGGCTGTGTGGCTACCAGACATAAGTCTATGTCAGATCTGTTTTCCAAGTACATTCACAACTCAACAATATATGTACAGATTTGATTATCCCTGAGACTATAGTATGAAGCAGTAAACTGCAATGTTTTGTAAATCACCTGAGGATCTTGTTAAATATAACTCTGATCCAGCAGGTAAGAGTGAAGCCTAGGACTTTATTTTTTTTTCCTTATAAAGTTTCTGACATAGGGTGTGTGCACTTGCTGAAGAATGACAATGAGAGGGAAAGTGAGAAATCATCACTTAGAGGAAATGACCACTCCACAATCTTTTCTCCTCCTGGGATTTTGGGTACACATGCACCCAGTGACTTTTTTTTTTTTTTAAGAGAGAATTGTTTGCTATAGGGTGCATGTGCTTGCAGGAGAAACAGAGAGAGACAGAGAGACACAAAGTGAGAAATCACCTCCCCTCTCCCCAGAGGGGAAGGGCATGCCGCCATCACGTCTTCATTTTCCTCTCAGGATTTTGGGCACACATGCACAAGCACCCTGTGTGAATTTTAAGCTGCCAGGTCTAGGACTCGAACTGTGGTTCACTATATGGCAGTCTAGCAATGTAACCATTATGCTATCTGCTGGTACCATACCTGGTGTGATTTTAAAGCCACCAGGTCCGGGACTCAAACTGTCATTGGCCATGTGGTTATCCAGCACCTTAACCACCATACTACCTGCTGGCTCCCTAAGACTCCTCATTTTTTTTTAAAAACAATTATTTATTTAATATTTTTAGTCTTTAGTATTATTATTATTTTTTAAAATTTGCTATATGGCATGTGTACTCACCAGAGAGAGAGTCAGAGAGAGAAGGAAAGAGAGAAAGCCATCAGATCTGGGACTCAAACTGCCGACAGCAAGGTGGGACTCCAGTATTCCAACCACCATGCCACCTGCTGGCCCCAGGACTTCTCATTCATGACGAGCTCCCATGTGAGGCTGGTGCTGCTGGTCCTCAGACCACATTTTGAATAGCAGAGGACTGCAGGACCAACAAAGGTCTGGTTCTTATGACATAGCACACATCCATTTCTAAGAAGTAGCTTTTAACCTAAGACATTACCTTTGTTGAAGGTGAATTTTTCCGAACGTCAAAATATTTATGGAGCCAACTGGTGGAGCAGCAGTATCATAATGCTCTGCGATGCTGGATCCATGTGGGGAAGTCCCAAGTTTGAATCTGGAGACTTTCTTGTACAGGCTGTGCACATGCTTGCCCCTGATCTGTGTTGGCAGAGGCTGGGAGTGGATCATGGCCTGAGGACCCTGTTGGGGACACATCTTTCTCTCTCTCTCTTATGGAAGGCATAAATAAATGTCAATACTTTAAACAATTTATACATTTTTAACTTGCTAAATTAACTCTTTCTCTTTTGTATCTCTCCCTTCATATCATAACTGCCACAATCTTCTTAATTCCAATCAATGATTTTTTTTCTTTGTACCTTTTAATTTTCCCCTTTGGCATTGTATCATCCTGTTTCTCTGGGACCCAAGATCAGTATTTAGTTACAAACATTTTAACTATTAGGCTTGATATATTGAACTACTATATTATTCTATATTTACATATAGACTATTTAGAATTATGATATAAAATATTATGGTATTTTAGAATTTTTTCCCCTAAACGTGGGAGACTATGTAACTCTGATGATGAGAGGCAAATGAATATTGTGCAAAAGATCATTTATTTATGTAGACAGTGTCAAACACACATGTTGTATGTGCCCAGTATACAGCTAATGCATTTGCAGAAATAGTATGTCACTAGTGATACTCATGAAAAAAATGCCATGTTCTTATAACTGAAACAAGATGTGTTGAAGGGGAGAAACACCGTTTATCAGAGCAGAGTTGGTTGAAAGGAATCAGATAGGACTTTATGACCTGGGGATTCTTAAAAACCTGAAAGAGTTCTAGATGTTGAATCATGAACTTGGGACTTGGTTACTTTGCAAGAGGAAACTGTGGGAAATTAGATAATATGTAGCATGGAAGAAAACAAAAGAAACAAGACTGCCATTGACATCAGTGGACAAGACTGTCATTGACAGCAGCTGGGTTGACTACTTAACAGTGAACATGTGCAGAAATTCAGCTCACCAATAGAAGGCATGTCTAAAAAAGACTGAGAGTGGATGTCTTCTAACCCACAAGCTTCTCCTTTCTTATGGAGATTGGTCTCGCCATTATTTCTTCCTCCTCTCCTTTTCTTCCTGTGACTTTTTCTTTCTCTTATTCTTCTTTTTGTTTTCCCTCTTTAATTCTTGTAGGCATCACTGTAACCCTCATAGTCCTCTATTAAAAAGGAAATTGCAATTCTAGAGTTAGCTGTGACTCTGACAGACATTTTTTTTCCCCCCAAGTAATTGATTCTGGCAACACAGATAAATTTCAAATAGATATCAGGTTGAAAAGTGTTGAATTTTGAAGTTAATATTAGGTAAGAAACATCTTTATAAGTGTTTTCTTGCGGACTCAGTACTCAGAAAAGTCTAGTCATAGCACTGTCAGCATTTTACATGGGACAAAGGTATTTTACAGGCAAACACACAAGGAAGAAAATACTATTAATGCATAGCAAGGTGCCTCTTTTTCATGATAAAAAAATATAAAGTATGTTACTCAGGCATGACTATAAATTACCATAGTTAATATTTTAATATTACTATTAGAGCTGAAAATGGTGTTTAGAACTCAATCACTTCTGACTTCCATTTACAGTAGAAAACATAAAAGTGATTAAAGATGACATGAGCATTGACTCTACTTTTTTTTTTTAAAATTTAGTTTAGTAGATTTGCTAATACATAGGTTTTAAAATATTCAAATGTTGGGGCCAGCAGGTGGCATGGTGGTTAAGGTGCTGGACTCCCACACGATTTGAGTCCCAGACCTGGTGACTTGAAAATCATGCTGGGTGCATGTGCAGACCTGCCCAGAATCCTGAGAGGAGAATGGAGAAGAAGGGATTGTAGTGTGGACATCCACCTGTGGGGGAGGGGAGGTGATTTCTTACTGTCTCTTTCTCTCTGGCAAGCATATGTGCCCTATAGCAAAAATCTAAAAGAAAAAAAAAAAGTTTCTGGAAGTGTTATGAGGCATCGGAATAAAAATACCTAAAATACTGATTAATTCATTATAAAATCTCTGATTCATAAAAGATCAATTTTTTGGATTCTATTAACATATTTGTGAAAAACAAAATATAACAGGGCTCAATTTGTGCAGAGTTATACTTTTTTTATATTCCAGAGGATGCCCACATAAGAGAGAAAAAGAGAGAGTGAGAGAGAGAAATCACTTCCTTGGTCATGTCACACATAAGAGAGAAAAAGAGAGAGTGAGAGAGAAATCACTTCCTTGATCATGTCATAGTCCTTTTTCCTCTAATTCTCCTTCCCATCGGGATCTTGAGGATGCATACATGTGCACAGCATAGTTTCCAAGAGCCTGAGCCAGACCTTGAACCCTGGTCATCCATGTAGGATCCAGCATCCTTTGTGTCGTGCTTAACTGCTGTGTTATGGAGCTGGCCATCTAGTTAAATTTTCTTGTGTTTATTTCTTTCAAGAAAATGAGAGCGAGAGAGTGAGAGGGGAAGTCATGCTCAGCAGGGTCTCATGATGCAATCTCTTCCACAGCTTTCCCAGCCAGTGAAAATCAGGAGCTGAAGTGCCCAGTGTGTATGGGTTGACCAGGGAACAGAACCTGTGACCTTCCAAATGGATCCAATATGGCTTCAGCAATGCATTAGCACTGTGCCACAGAGTTAAGCCTACAGCAATAATTAATCCCTGTAAATTTAGCATCATTCTATTGCAAGAATCAGTTTTTATCTAACACATGTTAAGTGTGTAAATAAGCTCTTTGCAGAGTTATGTTTAAACATTTTTAATCATTGCTCTTCCAGATTCATCTAAGCCATTTTCATTTAGGACTTAGCTCCTAAGTTCTTTTTTGACTTAGCTCCTAAGTTCTTTTTTGACTAACACTGTCCTTCTCTATCAAATCAACTAATTCTAATTTCTGCAGGGCACTTGTCAGTACCTGAAACTCTATCTTTATGTATAGTATTATTTACTCACTATCTATCTAATCCAGGATGGAATTCAGGTTTTGTGGGATCTGAAGCTTACACAATTTTGATAATTATTTAAAAGAAAACAATTCAAAATGATGAGTGCTATATTTGGTACAAGGTATCTCAGAGAGACCTGTGCAAACGGCCCCGAAGATTTGTCTTACTAGCTTCAGAATACACCCACCTCTAGTCTCACATGCTGGCTTGGTAGGTCTCACAACAGTAGAAATTTTACGTCTTGGTCACTGCACTTTGTAGGCACTTAGTACATATTTTTGACAATGGATTACTGAAGGCGCATGCCACACTCATACTTTCTTCATTGCCCATAATTGCTTTTCTGAGAGGAAATACAGGGCACAGTGATTTCATATTATTTTTATTGTTTGATTTGAGTTTCTGTGCTGTGGTGCTCTGTGAAAAAGTAATTTTATTGTACTAAAGACTGTGTTTTTATACCGAACTGCTACCCAGGAAGGCATTTCCCAAGATGGGATATATTATATTTTTTGTGATTGTGAAAGATACAACTATATGATTGTGCCTTACCTTTTGGATATTTCATGGGTATTTATATTTATTTCTTTTTGCCTTAATTTAATTTTTGGACCTTTTCCTCAGTGAGCATATATTGATCATATAGTAAAATTAATGAAAAGAAATTCTTTTGAAACAAAATATGGTAAGCTCCATTCTCACTGTTGCTTGAAGCCCATCACCATTTTGGGGAATACTTTCACTATATGAAATTTCTGTTCACATTCCCTTCTCACCTTACTCTAATTTTTTATTTTTAATTAATTTTTAAAATTGACATACTTAATCTCTAATTTTTTATTTTTAATTAATTTTTAAACTTTACATACCTAACTTTTTCTTTCAAAGTGATGGTGCTTTATCTTGCTTTATAGACAGGTGTCTGTGTCCTTTCTACTGTTTGGTCTATTTGTTTTAGAGAGACTGTGTGGGACCTTCAATAGGGAGGACTCTGAACTGAGGACCCTGTCTATGTGGTTCCACTTTTGTTACCGCTGTGCCAACTCTTGGTCCAAGAAATGTGGTAATTATTATTTTTTTAAATTATTTTATTCAATTTCATTTATTCATTCATTCATTTAATTTGACCAGAGAGAGAGAGAGAGAGAGAGAGAGAGAGAGAGAGAGAGAGAGGAGAAAGTGAGAAAGCAAACCACCAGGTCCAGGACTCGAACCACGGTCGGCCCTGTGGGAATGTCCAGCACCTTAACCACCACACCACTTGCCGGTCCCTTATTTTTGACCCTTTCGTCTTTGTTATCCTTTTTTATTCATTTTATAATGTCACCGATGATAACATTTATGAATATAGCATACTTTTATATAACTGGGAGAATTTATGTATTCTGGGGAGTTGGGTGAGGTCTCCCTGAAGAAATGGCTTTTGATATGAAGTTAGATGCATCAGGTTCCTGAGTGGTATGGGAAAGATGGAAGTAAGCTTGAAAAAATAAAAGAGAAGCTTTAAGTCATAGCTGAGGAACTAAAGGAGCTCCAGCAAGGAGAAAGCAGAAAGAACACAAGAAAGTGTGAAATGGGAACAACTAGAGAGGGAAGCAGGCTCAGGTCATGGGAAGTGTTTTAGGGCATGTTAAAAATTCTGGTCTTAAAGGCCGTTGGAGTCTTTTGTGACAGCTCCTAAAATTTCTGCCAACTCTTTTTTACTCGTGGACCTGAACTATTCATTATCATCCACCATTTTTTCCCTTGAACTCTCTAACTTTTAATCCTTTCATATTCTTGCCACTTCTCTTCATGTTTCTAAAAGTTACTCAAGACTCACTTTCACCTGAAAGTCATCCTTGTCTTAGCACAAAAAAGCTTTTCTCCCTCTGGACTCCAAGTGCTCTGATTTTTCCTTTCAATTCCCATGAAACTGAGTGGGTGTTTGCCTGTTCACTCACAGATCCATGTCCTACCCTTTCTCTGCCATGTTCTGTATCTCACAGGGCTGGCTTATGAGAAGTATGTTTGGTAGATTCCCTCAATAAACAAATGGTTTTCCTCCAGTGTTTGGCCCACTGGAGGGAAGCGAGAGTGGGAGGCAGTGGGAAGCCAGGGACTGCTCCTCCTCTGGTTGTCTGACTTCTGACATTGGAGATGACATGACTTCTGCTAGAAGAGTCACTAA